AGAGAGAGAGAGAGAGAGAGAGAGAGAGAGAGAGAGAGAGAGAGAGACTGAGAAATGTCAAAGCCCACCCCAGTGGCGCTTTATCTAACAAGGCCACACCTTCCAACCTTTTAAATAGTGCCACCCCTTGGTGACTAAGCAGTCAGATCTATGAGCCTGTGGGGTCATTTAAACCGCCTCTGTGTGTGTGTGTGTGTGTGTGTGTGTGTGTGTGTGTGTGTGCTAGAGAACAACCTTAGGTGGTTTTCCTCTGGTGTAGAGAAGACCCCCCTGACCTGAATCGGTGGTTAGGCAGGTTCCTGGCCTATGAGCCTTAGGGAGTCCGACTGTTATGCCTCTCCAGGGCTGTCATTACAAACATGTGCTATCACGCCTGACTTTTTAACATTAGTTCTGGGAATCCCAACGTAGGTTGTCATGACTGCATGGAAAGCATTGTATGACTGAGCCAACTCCCCAGTCCTGGTTGGTTCTTATAATAAGTGCAGATGAAAGCTCTTTAGGGCAGCAGCTGTAGATACAGGCAGAAGATAGGATTTAATACACTGAAATAACCTAATCTTCTGGTCCATTGGCAGTTAAATCCTGCTAAAGTTCTAGTATTTTACCCAGGACTCAGGCACATGGATTTCCTTCCCTTAGACCACCACATGAACCTTTACAGCCAATAAACCTCATTAGAGACACACATCTCTGACTGTTTCTGCTTTCCTGCTTGAACATGGATATGCATAGCTATGTTGGTTTTTTGAGGCAGGGTTTCTTTAACCAGGGAATCAGGGGTTAGCCTAGGTTTCTGGCCTGTGACCCTCAAGGGATCGACACAGGCCTAAGTAAGGCTGAGCAGCCCACTTAGCCCCGTGGTTCTTAGAAGGCAGCTTTTGCAATTTATACACACAAGGAACTAGTCAGTAAACAGCTTGGACACTGAGGTCCTCAGGCTCAGCGGTACTTACCATCTGAGCTATCTTAATAGCATTACGTGGGTCTTAAGCTAACGTATCCCCAAAGACCTGACATGGTGGAGCTGGCTATCTGATCTTCTAGCTCCTACAAGGAGAGTTAAGGGAGGGATGACGGGGAAGATTGCAAGCTTTGAGATTAGTGGAAAGATAGACCGGTCCTTCATTTCCCTGGCCTTTTTCCTGTATGGAGTGTCTTTGAGGTCTGGATTTTTTGCCTTTAAGAATGGACTTTGAACCCAGTTCTGTTTCCTAATCTCCAGGTTTCACCTCCAGCACAAGAACAGGAAGTGCAATTAAAGAAGATGGTAGCTCTGAGTGCAACAGAGCAGTTGCCTACCTCAACTTCCAGTCAAGGCTCGGCCCCCGACACCCCCTTGGAACTTCCCTGTGACCCAGAAGCACACCACTTCCTCAGTGGACACTTCCCCAGTGGACACTTCGGTACTCATCTTCTCAGTTCTGCCCCTAGAGTCGTTTTCTTTCATCAACCCAACTTGCACCTCACTGAAACCCCACGTTGCCTTACAGCCGGTCCCTTTCTTAGTGACCCTTTTGTCTATTCTCTAGTTGTGCATGTACTTAGCAAGTTTCCCTCTAGCCAGTGCAGTCTCCTACCTCAAGCATGTGCCACTGGGGACTGGAGACATGCAGTATATATATATATAAAGAAGCAACCTCATAAGACATGTTTGAGTGGAGCTGGGCATGGTAGATCACACCTGTCATTCCAGTACTTTGAAAGCTAAGGCAAGAGAATTTTTCGGAGCTGAATGTGGGTCTGGACTACTTCATAAGTTTTGGGCTAGCCCATGCTTCAGATTAATACCCTGTGTCAAACAAGACACACACACACAAAAAAATATCCCAGCTACCACAAACAAGATACGTATGGATGGTATCTGTCCCCAGGCATAATACTGGTGTTGTCAAAGGAGATTATTAGATAAAGTGTATCATGAGGCAGAGTAGGGATGGGTACTGGAGGAACAAGCAAGAGATTTAACCACTAAAAAGTGAAGACTGGAGGCCAGATGCGGTGCTATATGCCTTTAATCGTAGCACTGAGGAGGCAGAAGCAGACACATTTCTATGAATTTGAGGCCAGCTTGGTTTATATAGCAAACTCCAGGCCAACCAGCGATACATGGTGAGACCCAGTTTTAGAAAGAAAGAAAAAAAGAAAGAAAGAAGGAAGGAAAGGAAAGGAAAGGAAGGAAGGAAGAAGGAAGAAAGAAGATGAGTTTGCTGTATCCGGGATGCAGGTATGTGGCAGATCTGAGAGAGTAGTGAGGACAGGGAGGTGTGACTACAGCCATGAAGATCAGAAGGCCCCTGAAGGAGGGAGCCGAGGAAGCACAGGGCTGGGCTCCAACCGGGTTCCAGCTTGCAGGAGGCTGGCTGAAGAGATGGCTGAGGAGTTAAAGGCACTGGCTGCTCTTCCAGGCTCAATTTCCAGCACCCACACAGTGTGTCATCACCATCTGTAATTCCAGTTCCATGGGATTTGGTGCCACCTTCTGGTCTCTGTACCAGGCACCCAGGGGATGCACAGACAGATGTGAAGACAAACACCCATACCCATTACAATATATAAGATTTTGTAAAGGCAGGAGTGTAAATCAGTCTTGGAAGTGGTAAGGAAATTAAAGCAGAGAGCATATAGTCAGAAGTAGAGCTTCAGACAGGCTGGAGAGGCTCCTGAAGGAACCCCCAGTTTTCAGTTTGACAGATATTGCCTGTTGTGCCCTCTGAAGAGCATTCTCATCACACTTAGGATACAGTCTCTAGGGAAAAGCTAAGAGTCAGTGTAGGTGGAGTTCCCTGGATACTTGCAGATCCCACCTTAGGCACGTGGATCTTAGGGAGCTGAGAGCGGGGCTTCACCCACTGAGTTCACCTTTCACCCCTCAGATCCTGCTTTCCCCAAAGTGGGGAACTCCAGAGCCCAGCCAGTGGCTAGTGTGCTTAGGATGGCCAGGCCTCAGGTGAGTGTGGCTCTGTTTTTCTTGAGTCTGTGTCTGGGTGTGTGGTTGATGTGTCTTGAGGGATGGCTGGGACTCACCTGCAGACCCTACCCATCTGAGGTTGGCTCTCCTGCCTAGTGCTTCCATTGGAGCTAGGCCCCTGCCCCTGGTATTAATGGGTTTCATTTAGCCCATTTTTGTCCTCTCTGATGTGTCCACTATCCTTTGGTTCTGTGTGACTTTTATATGCCTGAGAACACTGCTCCTCTGGCTGAGGTTGTTTCTCAACAATAGAAGCTTGTCGTTCCAGGAGACTACAGTGAACAAGGCCTGTACGCAGAAAAAGAGGAGTGCTCTGTGTGAGACGGAGGTAGTGAGAGGTGAACTCGGCCTGGCCTCTCTAGGTAACGGCTCCCAGTAACGAGCAGTCTGTCTTCTACATCACATACCCTGTATTCGTTTGTTGATTTGTTTTAACTTTTGCAAACATGAAGTAGATGTGTATAATGAACACCCCTGCACCCGTCACCCAGTGTAAAAGTAGTCATCATTTTCTTTATTTAATGACTGGTCAGCGGTAGGGAACTAACTTGGGTTTTCTCAGCCATGGGAAAGAGTTCCTTGGATTCTGAAAGTAAAGATCTTTGTGTTTGAGGGATTACGAGAATGGGGGACCCAGAACAGTCAGATTGGGTGGTGGGAATTGGTGGTCCAGGAGACCCAGCAGTCCCAGCACATGAGTTCCACCAGGACAAATGTGGCTGCACTGACCATGTGACTACTGCAGCTCCACTCAGCATGTTTGTTCTCTCTGCCTTCCCTTCCACCGATACTCTTTTGAGCTCTGAAACTCTGTCCCTATCATAGCGTTTTCCCAGCTCTGCTCTCCTGGCTCCATATTCACTCAGCTTTAGGTCTTACTTGCAATCATGCCCTGTTTGGGGTCAGGATCTCCCTGGAAAGAACTCTGACCAAGACAGTGATTAGTCTCTTCTGTGTTTTAGAAGTCACTGGCCCAGGCTGCAACAGATGCTGATGACAAGCTACAGATAAGCTGGACTTGAGTCTTTCTGGTACCTGACCCAAGTCTAATCACCTGTCATCCTTGAGGCATGTTCAGTTGTATGAGATTCCCTTTACAAAACCTGAGACCTATCCTGTGATCGGCAGACTCAGGACAGTAGCCAACTTGGCAGAGGGTGGACATGAAAATTACTAACCTAAGTATTTTATAGTTTGATTTGTTAAAGATATGCTGGCCTTGGCCTCATTGCCACATGGTTTAAAGGAACCAACATTTTGGTATTTGTCGATAACCATGAATGACTACTGCACCCCTTCTCAGATTTTGCATTTGAATCTCCAAAACTGCAGACCAGAGTTTAACTATTTAATTTCTTTATTAAATTATCTTTAATTATTTAACTAAATTATTATTTAAGAGACAAGCTCACAAGGGCATGCTTGAATTTGTATCTCAAATCACTGATGCTTCTTTTAATTTTTATAGGTATATAGAACTGCCTTTGCCCAGTCCCATGTTCTAACTCTGCTGCCCCCTTCAACACTGTTCTAAACCAATGTACATGCCCCCTTTCCCATGTCACACAGGTCTGTCTGCTTACCTCACACCATCACAGTGGAAAGTCTCACCAGCTCACTGCCATTTTTGCCTCCTTTATTTCTTGGCAACCTTTCCTTCCTCTATCAACTTAGCTATGTCTAGCCTGGAGCTCTGTGTAGATAAGGCTGGTCTTGATCTCACAGAGATCCACCTGCCTCTTCTCTCAAGAACTGAGATTCAAAGCACCACCACACATGGCCCAACATCTTTTTGGAAACATGGAACTGTACGATGTCATGGTGGAGAGGAACTTAATTTAGCCATTCACTAAGAAGACAGTTTTACAATGGCTCTGGAAGATGAAACATGTGTTATACAATCTACCTCTGACTTTCCAGTTTGTCTCCTATGTAGACTGCATTAGCTCAGGTTTCCTCTATCCTTACCTTTCCTCCCTATTCTTCTCTATGGACCATTGTCCCTCTGTGTTTTAATATTCCTGAAGAAAAAAAGGAACTATTTTTTCTATGCTTCTCAAATGTTGTCTCATTCCTTAGCTGTATGACTTTTTTCAGCTACAAAGTAATAAATAAATAAATAGTAAAAAAAAGTTTTTCATATTTCTTTTGACAATAGGTAAGAAAAGGATGGGAAGTTCTGAGTACAGTCCAAAGCAGGACATTTCTAAAGGATCACATTCACTTGACACATCCTCAAGGGGACTCTTTGGAGTGGCCCTGGTAGAACCAGAGTCGGGAGACATCTGTGAGGACCCTTTAGCACAGATGGAAGGGCATCCTTCAGATGAAGAAGGCAGCGGACTAGAAAGTGATTTCTTGGAAAAGAAAGATAAGAAAAAGTCCACAAGAGACAAAAATGAGGAATGTAAAGATGTAGGGGAACATCCAGATATACCCTCCAGTCCTGTTGAGCATCAAGCAAAGAGACAGAAGTCCTATCAGTGTGATGAATATGGCAAAGTTTTTAACCAGAGCTCACACCTCCTTGGACATCAGAGAATCCACATTGGGGAGAGACGCTTTGAATGTCATGAGTGTGAGAAGACCTTCCGACAGACATCTCAGCTAATTGTTCACCTCAGAAGACACACTCAGGAAAAACCTTATGAATGTCCTGCGTCTGGGAAGACTTATTGCCACAGTTCCCATCTTATTCAACACCAGAGTCTCCATAGTGGGGAGAAACCTTATAAAGGTAATGAATGTGTAAAAGCTTCCATTCAGAGTTCCCAGCTCACAGACCACAAGAGAACACACACTGGAGAGAAAGCTACTGAGTCTGGGGAAGCGTTCATTTGGAGTAAAAGCCTTATCCAGCATCAGGTCCTGCACACTAGTAAGAAGCCCTATGAGTGTAATGAGTGTGGGAAAGCCTTCTGTTCCAACAGAAATCTCATTGACCACCAGAGAATCCACACTGGGGAGAAGCCTTATGAATGTATTGAGTGTGGCAAGGCCTTTAGTCGGAGTAAGTGTCTTATTCGACATCAGAGTCTCCACACTGGGGAAAAACCATACAAATGTAGTGAATGTGGGAAAGCCTTCAGTCAGAACTCTCAGCTCATTGACCATGAACGAATTCATACTGGTGAAAAAACGTTTGAATGTAGTGAATGTGGTAAGAAATTCAGTTTAAGTAAATGCCTTATTCGGCACCAGAGACTTCACACTGGAGAAAAGCCCTATAAATGCAACGAGTGTGGAAAATCCTTCAGTCAAAACTCTCACCTCATTATACACCAGAGAATTCACACCGGTGAGAAACCTTATGGATGTACTGAGTGTGGGAAAGTCTTCAGTTATAGTTCTAGCCTCATGGTTCATCAGAGAACCCATACTGGTGAAAAGCCCTATAAATGTAAAGACTGCATGAAAGCCTTTGGTGACAGTTCACAGCTTATTGTGCACCAGAGAGTTCACACTGGTGAGAAGCCTTATGAATGTATTGAGTGTGGGAAAGCCTTTAGTCAGCGCTCCACCTTTAATCACCATCAGCGAACTCACAATGTGGAGAAGCCCTCAAGTCTGCTTCAGGCAGTATCTTAAGGTTTCCTGAGACGGAGAATAAAGAATTCTGAGTTAGTTTGTTTAGATGAAGGAAGCCGGGCAGTGGTGGCACACGCCTTTAATCCCAGCACTTGAGACGCAGAGGCAGGTGGATCTCTGAGTTTGAGGCCAGCCTGGTATACAGAGTGAGTTCTGGGACAGCCAGGGCTACACAGAGGAACCTTGTCTTGAGAAGACAAACAAACAAACAAACAAAAAGGATATTTATCTTACTTTCAAATGAGTGCTTTCTATTCAGTCACAAAGGCAGGATAATACTAATAACTTAATAAAGTCTCTCCTTCCTTACTTCTGGAAAAATAAGAGCCACATATTTTATTTACTTCTAGCTTTTTTTTTTAAACTATCTTAAAACATCTCATTTTTAAATTTTGCATTCCAAAATTTGTGATTTTCAAGCACAGAGATGACACCTCCTCTACTTCATTCTAACCTCTGCATCTCACCATTTATTTAAAGACTCACCGTAAGACTCTCCTCACTCTTGCTTCTGGCCTGTAGCTCTCTGCATTTACTTTGCCTCCTCATACTTTTTTGTGGGTGGGTGTTTTGCCTACATGTATGGATGAGTAGCACTTAGGTGCCTAGTGTCTACAGAAGAGGTCATCAGACCCCCTGGGACTGGACTTACAGACAGCTGTCAGGCACTGCGTGATGATAGGGTTCAACCTGAGTCCTCTGGCAGAGCAGCCAATGCTCTGAACCACTGAGCCATCTCTTCAGCCTTCACAGTGGTTTTCTAAAGTTAGTCCAGTATACAGCTTATCACTTAAGTCCCCTTCCCAGAAAAAAAAAAATCCCTTTTACTTGTGTTTCTTCATAACCTTGAAGATCTGTCCAATTTAAGAACCTTAATTTTGTGTTTATTTTTAAATGGAGTATATTTGTGTATGTCTGTACCTGTGAGTGCACTGGTTCTAGAGGACAGGAGAGGGCATTGGATCCCCTAGAGCTGTGGATTGTGAGGTACCTGACATGGGTGCTGGGAATTGAACTTGGGTCCTCTGCAATAACAGTACGTATTCTTTTTTTTTTAAAGATTTATTTATTTATTTTATTTATGAGTACACTGTAGCTGTCTTCAGACACACCAGAAGAGGGCATCCAATCTCATTACGGATGGTTGTGAGCCACCATGTGGTTGCTGGGATTTGAACTTAGGACCTTTGGAAGAACTGTCAGTGCTCTTAACCGCTGAGCCATCTCTCCAGCCCAACAGTACATATTCTTAACCACTGAGCCATCTCTCCCGCCCCAGGATTTTTTTCTTTATATGCTTTTCTTTTAAGCCTCTGTTGATCTTATTTCAATGCTTTGAGTTAGTTGGTGCTATGTGGTCAACTGTTAAATTCCCTTGAAAGCATTTATACACTTTAACACCAGCATGTAGGCTCATTGTGGGTATATATTTTTCATATATAGATAGTTATATTGATTGTTAAATAAGTTTTAAATCTTTCACCCAAATAATCCTTAAATTAGGAACACACTCCCCTCTCTCCCAAGCTTTTAAGGTTAGAGGTGCATCTGCAGTGTCACATACTCTAAACCCATTAATGTCATTTATATCTACTGTAACTATTGGTTTATTAGCCTTGACAAAGCTAATTGTGTGTGTGTATGTGTGTGCGCACACGTGTGTGTGTGTGTGTGTGTGTGTGTGTGTGTGTGTGTGTGTGTGTAACAGAGACAGAGCATATTTTTTTATCCAGTTGTGCAATCATGCCCCTCTTAGATGTGCATTGTGCTGTACACTGACTTGCTAAATGCATTCTGGCTCTTCAGTGAGCAAATGAGACCACAGTCAGAATTTACTACAAAGACTTGTTGACATCATGGCTGCACTGGGATTATGAACATACAACCCTGTAAATTTCTATGTGTATCCTGGAGATGTGCATTCAGGTCCTCGTGCCAGATGACACTTACTCTGCCTACTGAGCCATCTTTCCAGGCCCAGCGTCCTGAAATAATCTGAAAGAAAACGTGGAGAAACTCTATTCTAATATACAGCTATTGGCTCCTCAGGGGATCTCTGATATAGAAAAGAGGTCTTCATTTGGGTGTGGTGGCACATGCCTGTAATCCTAGCATTTGGGAAGCAGAGACAGATCTTTGTGAGTCCAAGTTCAACTTGGACTATACATCAAGTTCCAGGCCAGCCATGTTGAGTCACTGTCTTCAAAGGAGGTGGGAAGGTATGACTTGACTTAGGTATTTTTTGAAGTTACATTTTATGTACATGTACCCATGGGGATTACAGGACGGCTTGTGGGAGTTGGTTCTCTCAACCAAGTAGTTCCCACAGATCAAAGTCTGAAGTTGGGTTGTCAGGCTTGGCAACAAGTGCCTTCACCTGCTCAGCCATTTCACTGGTCCTCAGTTTAATTTTTAAAAACTACCCACTCACACAGGGACATACTGTGGGACACACTGTGACGTACTACAGCTTCCATGATGAGATGTTTTCTATGCTTTGTTGTATTTTGTTGGAGGGGGGAGATTGCAAGGGTGAAAGGTGGATATGGGGACGGAAGTGAACGGGACTGGAGTGCATGATGTGAAACAAATCAATAAAAAGGTTTTAAAAATTTAGACCCCCTTTCTGTGTGTGTGTGTGTGTGTGTGTGTGTGTGTGAGCATGTATGTGGAGACCAGATAACAACTTTGTGGAGTTGGTCTTCTCCTTCCATCTTTATGGAGATTGGACTCAGGTCACTGGGCTTGCTCAGAAAGCACCCACTGAGCCATCCCATTAGCTCCTGTATTTGTTGCTTTTTGGTTGCTGTGATAAAATGCCATAACCAAAAGCAACTGAGAGGAGAGAATGGTTTATTTTGGTTTACAGTTCAAAAGAGACAACAATCTATCATAACAGGGAAGGCATGAATAGAGGCAGGCAGCCAGGTAGTGGTGGTGCATGGCTTTAACCTTAGGACTCAGAAGGCAGAACTCCGAGTTTGATGCTAGCCAGGTCTACAGAGGGCTAGTTCTAGGACAACCAGAGCTACACAAACCTGTCTCAAAAAAGTGGAAGGGGAAAAAAAGCACTGTTGCAGCAGGAAACATTAGTTTATACATGCATACATATATACATATATGCACATATAAAATTCAGATGCAGTAACACCTTATTGGGTGATCAAATTCACTACAAGAGCCAAAAGTTAACAAAAACCTCAGTGCCAGATGGGAAACAATCCATTTGAGTTGTTGGTTATGGGGGGGTCCAATACTTCCCTAAACAGTATGGCTATACCTGTTGTCCTTGGTTGCTTCCCAGAACTTGAAGTGAAGACCCTATTTCTGAAGACACCACACATGTGGAAGACAAAATTTGGAGAAATTGACCTGGAATTGGCCAGAAGCCTCCTCCTATGAGAGTCCAGCTTTCATAGGATTTGAAGGTGTAGTGCAGACTGCCAAGGGAAACAAGCAATCAATAGTCCAATGCAGCTGTAAAACTTACAAACCATACCAATGTGAGCTCTTACAAGGTATCCCAATGGAGCAATAGTGGTACTTTTTTCTTGGTGATTGGTAGCTAAGTATTGTCTAATTGGCCTTTACGGCTTCTCAGTATGTGTGAATTCATGATTGGTACTGTAAAACAACCTGACTATTCATGGCTGGAGAGGTTATAGACCTTACAGTGTCAGGAGCGACCTTGCTCAAACATTAATTGCTTTGTCAGGCATACGTGCTTACTGGCACAAAGTCTTGGCCTCTATGGGAAAGCACTAACCCAGTTGAGAACAAGTAGCTATAGCTCTTGTGGATAGGTAGCCTCTGTGGAAAAGTACTAGCTTAGTTAATAAATAATTATAGATCTTATGGACAACCTGTTCTGCTCTGTTCCTTCTGCTGAACTTTTCACCCAGCCAACATCCTGTTCTTGAGAACACCTGCACTCCCCAGAAACAAAGAGACCCTACATCACCCCCCTACCCTATATCCTGATTCTATGTATATATAACCTGGTGTGGGAACAATAAAAATTTGACAGCTTGATCAGACTTGCTGTCCGTTGTTCTCTTTCTTCTTCTTTTTTTTTTTTTTGGTTTGGTTTTTCGAGACAGGGTTTCTCTGTGTAGCCCTGGCTGTCCTGGAACTCACTCTATAGACCAGGCTAGCCTCGAACTCTCGAACTCAGAAATCGTCTGCCTCTGCCTCCCAAGTGCAGCTGTCCATTCTTCTCATACCCTTGTCCCCCATTCTCTCTTTCAGGTAGTCTCCCAGTTTCAGTTCACCGCCCCACAGGTCGGAGCACTATAGGAGGTCCAACTTACTTTAAATCAGAATTCAAGCATCGAAAATAGTTCTGATGGCCCAACATGGTGGTAAAAGGGCTAGGAAGTATACACTGAACCATTTGCTTCAAACAGAAAATGGTTCTGTTAATAAACATGATGGTAAAGGGGCTAAGAGGTATACACTGAATCATTTGCCTCTGACACATGAAAATAACATACACCACAACTATATTCTGTAACTAGGAGGGAAAGTCATGCAGTTATAACTTATTTGTGTGGATATTTTGCCTACATGTTTGTCTGTGCATATCATGTGTGTTTGGTACCTGGAGAGGCCAGAAGAGGGGGCAAGATCTCTTAGAACAGGAGAGATGGTAATGAGACACCTTGTGGGTGCTTGGGATTGAACTCAAGTCTTGTAGAAGACCAGCCAATGCTCGTGACTGCTAAGCAGCCTTTTAGTCCAAGGTATTAGTTTTTTTGTTGGTAGTAGTACTTCGCTCATGAAGAGGCGTTGTTCATTTATTCTTCACTGGACCAAACCAGTCCTCCCACTGTAGAGAATTGAGCTACTGTACAGGATACCTAGCAGAGTGAGGGGCAGATTATCTTTTAAGGCATACAAATGTTTTGCTCCAAAACACAGTAGAAGACACATGTATGGTTGTCCATTCCTTTTTCTTGGTCGTAGGTATTCCTGAAAAACTGCCTGATTGGATTTGCTAGTTGATGAAAACTACAATATTTCCCTCCTTGTTAAC